GATAATTGCAATATAGATAAATTTCCTGGTTCCTAGTGTATACTGAATTTTTGTATGAACTGAATTTTTTGTTAATCACTCACAAATTGAAATCTATTGGACTATGTAACTAATTTGTCTGAAAATGTTTGTGATATATTATTTAGCTGCAAATGGCAGAAGCTGGAAATTGATGGTGTTGTAGAGAAGTTTTAACTTTGATCTATAATGGGTTAGATCCAAAGGCATGACCACCAATGGAGGGAAGGTAATCTACATTTGCAGAAACAATGTCCTTAATTAATCTGTATCCCACTAGATTTCTTATTGCTTGTAGAATAATGATCAGAAATACCTTTATTCAAGTTTGCAGCTAGCTAGATTCAGGCATTAGTTTGCAGATTTTTGACTCAGTGGGTACCCTGTTTTACATGGAAGGTAAATAATGGCTGTGATCACACACACTAAATAAATAAGTGACGTGTTCTCCTTTTCAGTTTTTAGTTAAGACTGCAAACCTCTGGGGCAGGATAGCCGTCTGGGAGCACAGTAGTAACTGTCTCTAAGGTTCATAAGTATGACAGGTGGAGTGCAAAGAGTTGAAATGGAAGACACACACTGCTTCATCAGCAACAAAGCACACCTGTGAAATATGAAAGGGAGCTCTAACACAATACTCTGTGCTTTCTGTACAAGGACATTTCTTGGCTCAAAATGTCAAAAAAAAAGGCAGCCACATATATAAATGAGGCTTCTCCTTATCTCTCTATAGTGGAAAGGCACTAATTTGAGGCAGGAAATTTGTTTGGAGCAAGGGCTACTCTGGAAATCTGACACAAGGGAGAGGACTGCAATTGGCCTCACCCTGCTTGGGACAAGATCCACTGGTGGATGGGGTGATCTTTTTATGGCAGCACAAGAGTCAGAAATCTTTTGTGGGATTTCATTTGCAGGAAACATTTCCTGGTTGCTGAATTGCCCTTTCGTATGGCAGGTTTGAACATACAAATATCTCATGAGATTAAAACTGACATTTAGGTATGTCCTTCTTCCAGCAAGCTCAGGGCAGTATACAGGGTTCTCCCCTTTTCATTTTGTCCTCACAACAACTCAGTGAGGTAAGTTAGGCTGAGCAACAGTGATTGGTCCAAGGTATCCCAGTAAATTTTATAGCAAGTGGGAATTTGAATCTAGGTCTCCTCATGCCTGGGCTATATTACACCACACTGGTTGCTGAATACATAGACTACTGAAAAGTAGTGTGAACTTATATGGAAGTTTTATCTGTTCTGGCTCACACAAACAAATCATCATTTGGTGATGCTAAATGTATGAACCAGCTTTTAATGCAATAATACCCAAGAGCCCTCAAGTTCTAAATAATGTCCATACAATTTAGAAATCACAACATTAAAAAACATGTATTGTCTTTTGATTTTTGAGCTATGCAGACATTCCCTTTTTTTTAGGTTTCCAAGCTCGGCTCCAATAGAGCCCAAGATTAGAAACAGTTTTGTGGAACACTCTGCTTTTAAACTCTCCCTGACCAGACCCCTAACGGATTTTGAAAGGCTACTATACTTAAAAAATAAAAAGAAAGGGTTAATAGCGAAAATATATAAGATTTTACAGGCCCCGTTGCAAGACACCACGCTAGGTTATCAGCGGGCCTGGACAGATGATCTACAACAACAGATCACGGTGGATCAGTGGAATCAAATCTGGAGGTCGCAGTGCAAGCAATCAAGATCTTTGTATGTGTTTGAAGCCAACATGAAAGTCCTAACCCGTTGGTATCTTACTCCAGCTAGGTTAACACATATATACCCACATATCAAACCCTTATGCTGGAAACAATGTGGGGTAAAAGCGTCTTATATTCACTGCTGGTGGTCCTGTCCGGTCATCAACAATTTCTGGCTTCTTGTTATTCAAAAGATTAAGGTTTTAACGGGCGTTGTAGTTCCACCCGATCCTTTGTTGTTATTGTTAAATTTGTGGCCTGCTGACTCACCCCTTGTACCCTCCTTGAAGATGATTGGTATGCTACTCACAGCGGCCAAAATAGTTATTGCCAAGAATTGGAAAGAACCCAATCCTCCGAGTATACAACATTGGGTGCATAAGGTTTGGGACCTATTTTTACTAGAGAATTTTAATACGTTTTACACAGAAACTCAAACGGAATGCGACTTGATGAGTCCAATGCATGCTTGGTATCCTTTGTTAGATAGACTCAATATAGGTGGGTTCGACTGGGAAGAAATTTGCAATGTTAAATACAAGATGTTACTATATAACTGAATCAAACGTTATGAAATCTATACACGGTTCTATAGAGCACTATTATTGTAGTGAAAGTTGTGAATGGTACGACCTGTTTCGCTTGTATTCTGACTTTTCTATTGGAATTGTTGTTTTGTGCTTAAAATATCAATAAAACAAAAAAAAAAGATTAGAAACAGGTAACATTAGCAAAATATAACAGTTGATTGGAGCCTATGGAAGACTTAGTAGGATCCTGTCTGCCAGTGCTTTACTTTTAAAGAGCTAGAATTTCTGGCTGCCAGACGATCTTAGGATCTCCTGGCTATACTACACACACTGCCATATGATAATTATTATTATTACTTTTAAAGATGCTTCTCATCATAACTATCCAACTAATACTGCATATTCTTTCCCACATGGACCATTGTTGCTTAAGCTATAGTTTCTGTGACCATCTCTTAGTGGACAAAAATTCACATCACAACATACTGCAATCAAATTTTAAATGTTCCTGCAGAGTAAGACAAAGCGGTTCATGGCCTAATATGGATTGTCTTCGGGATACATGATCTTAACAAATATGCTTACATTAAAAAGTTAATTATAGAGGAACTTTTGTTATTAGGGTTCAAGTACCACTAAATCTTAAAAGTGATGGAACAATGCATGTTCATGTGAAGTTTTCAACAGGCATGGGGGAAAGATGTCTTCACTCAGGATTGCACCCAGCACCACTCTCTCCTCTCTATTCCCAGCCAGTATCTACTCCACCCCCACACACATGTACTCTGGGGGCTGCCATGTTTACTAGTGCAAGGCCAACAATGACTGCAAGAAATATGTTCATTTGTACACAGAAAATTCACATTGAGAATGAAAAATGCACGTTAAATATATTTCACCAAATCTCAATTTGATTTAAAAAAAAAAGAAATATCAAACATTTGTTCGTCATTATAAAATTTTTGTTGCCTCTTGACTTACATGATGCTAGATGAGCTCTGCAAGGTTGGCATGAGGAAGTCAAGGGAAACTTTTACATTTCATAAATAGCAAGAACTAGGTCAGAGTGAACAAAAACGGTCACAGCTGAAGTCATGCATTCGTAATCCCACAGGGCGGTCATATCACAGCAGGACTACTTACATAACTATTCACGAAGTTGCTGGTTATTATAAACTTTATGCTAGTGCCCTACTTTTCAGAAACATTAAAAATGATTAAACCCAATTTCTTCTTTTTGCTTTTACTGGAAACTTTTCCATGAACATCCGTGATACAGACAGAAACCACAAACAAATCTCCACAGAAGATGAACACAAAAGGGAGGAGACGATTCCCAAAGCAAACTGGATATGCAGAGCCAGTTCTAAACAACAAAGGGTGACTCGTGGTAGGCTTGACCCTCCAAAGCTCTTCATTCAAGAATTTACTCTTAGAAAGGGTTGAGATAGTGAACGAGAAGCAGCTATAAACTTAAAACACATTACTGTAGTTTTCTTCCCATCTTCTTAAATGCTTTGCAGCTCTTGATTCGCACTGCAGACAGCCATCTTTACTTTTCTTTTATTACTTTGATTATTGTACAGTAACCAGCAACTTTTCTCATTGCACTTTGGAGGAGTTCTTTTATGAGACAGGTCATCTAGTTTTCCTCTTCAAGCTTCTTCAGCCTTTCGATTTTAGCATTCAAATGAGCCAATAATTGTGGTATGACACTAACACTGCCATCCGAAGCAGAGATGACACCTTTCTTAACCCAGATTCATATAAGTCACACAGCTAGAAAGTTGTAACTCTACTTAGGAGGGCACTGTAAGGACTGCACTACATTGACACCTAATGACAAGATACAAACATCATATGCTCTACAAAACAACTGAGGAGGCGCTCAATTTTTCCACCTACAGAAGAAGCAGGTTTACATCAGGAAGAGAGGTAACCAGATACAGATACCTGACCCCAGAAACTCACTCCTCCTGTTCAAAAACTGTGCTGGATTGACGTTTCATATTAAAGAGGGAGATAGTGGTTGGAAAGGGATTTTGTATTCACCTATCTGTCCACTGTGGACATGAAGAGGATCAGTCTCATGTGTTACACGAATGGAAAACCAAACTGAGCATTAGCACAGTGCCAAAGATGGACAGCACTAAAGTAGTTTTTTAAAAAAGTTCACTTACATTGGCACCAATACATATCTGTATCGTTAAGCATATCTCCCTCTCGGAACAGACCATAATGTACTGGCGGAGATTGACTGTGAGCATCCAAATCTTTTGCTGGAGCAAGGCCTTGCTTAATGAGATCACTGAAAGCCAGAGTTCTGGTTCTGAGTATTACCCTTGCAGCAGATGTTATTGTCAACACCCTGATCTGTTGACTTCCTAGATGCAACATGGGCTGAAACAAGCAATTAAAGCAATTTTATGCTGTAACATTTATAAAGGCAGATCAACATTGTCTAGCTCTTTCAAACAAAATACATTGATGTTCAAATTTAATTGGAAAAGAGGACACCGTCCAGTTTGTATAGGAAGTTTTGCATAAGAATTGCACACAAGAAGAAGAGATTGGATTTATACCCCGCCCTTCACTTGGAGCGGCTTACAAACTCCTTTCCCTTCCCCTCCCAACAACAGACACTCTGTGAGGTAGGTGGGGCTGAGAGAGCTGTGACCGAAACGGGTCTTTTTCAAGAACAGCTCTAACAGAACTATGGCTTGTCTAAGGTCATCCAGCAGCTGCAAGTGGAATCAACCCCAGTTCTCCCAGATTAGAGTCGGTGCACTTAACCACTGCACCAAACAAGGTTATGTGATAATCACTCACTGCTCCTCAGCAAACACCTTTGCTTCCCATGTGTGGTTTTTTGCCCACACCTATATAGCCCACCTCAGTTAAAAAAGGACTTGACAAGATGTTACTTTTCCTGTATACACTATTTAGGCAAAAAGGAATCAGTCTCTTGAAACTCCACAAGTAAAAAAGCAGAATGGTTCAGTCAGTGGAAGGGCCGTCCTCCTCTTTGTTGACTTTTGAGATGACTTGCTGAACGTCTCAGTTTTCTCCTTTCCTGATGATGATGCTTCTCTGCTTCCTGCTGTTTCTGCTGTTGCTCTGACTGAAAAAGTTGCATAAAACACCCAGATGTAAACTTGAAATTTCCCTTCCAAACCCCATTGACATAGAATCATAGAATGTTAGAGTTGGAAGGGACCTTGCAGAACTTCATTTGATTAATAAAAAATAATTCAATTCATAAAAGAGCTTCATTCGATTCTAGCAAGCTTAATTCAATTCTAGCCAAAATGAGAGAACAACATATTAAACAGATAAAAACAGTTCTACAGTAACTTCTGTTGGTATATGTTGGGACACTAATGAAAGGTACATAAAACATGCCATTCGGCTTAGTTTCTGAAATTACAGTCTAAATACAAGCTCAATTAAAGCATACGTTATTTACAACTTTTTATCTTTCCCTGTGCTCTTGGTCTTGGATTCTGTGGAACTTTACCACAGGTAGAAGGATTTCTACCAGCAGAGTGTAACTTCCCCTCATCTAAACTGTCTCCTCAAATGCTCTTTTTTGGGGGATGGAGAATCTCCAGGATCAGTTTGAGAAGATCCAACTCTTCATCTCCTACCCAGTGGCAGTGTACAGTTGTCAGTAACAGTCTCAGGGAAAACAGATGGGAAATGAACTTTACAAACACTTGCGTTTAATGTCTTACTGATGTCAGCACTGTTGATGCCAACAGTACTCCAACGAAAACATGTTCTATTACCTCATCACTTCTGTTACACATTAGCACTGTCAAGGATCATGCCCACCCACACCCCAGCAACCAAACAGAGGATGCTTTTGTGGCATGTAAATATTTCTTCCTCCTCCACAATTGCTTACAAATGTAAAATAACTCATACAAGGAATATGTTGTGCAGTCCTGCACGAACCAGAATAAAATGGCTATGGGGATGCTTTCAAAGTTGAAGGCGTGGTAAGGAACTGGATTTATGGAGAAACAATAGGTTGAACCCAATAGTTCTTTTCTGCTAAATTGGGACTTCTCTCTCCAATGGAAGGAGGAAGGAGTCCTCACTCAGTAGATGAAATTACTGGATTCAACTCACTGTTTCTCTGCAAGCCCAAATCCTTGCATATGTGTGGATGCTTGTAGGATTCATTGGCTCCAATCCAAGATGCAGACGTTGGATAAATATTTCAAACTAAGCTAGTTTTAATTAGACAGTGCTTTCGTTCCAGTCACAATTTTGCCAAACTGACTTGCATTATCCTGCAGCAAAAGCCCCAAGCTTACGACCGGAGCCATTTATAGGATGTAGCTATCTTCATTTGAATACTGCTTCACTAAACCCATACACATCTGATACAGAAGTAGAGCTTTTGAGCCAAAGTGTATGAAAATCTCCACCTATTATTTCCCCCTGCATCAATAAATATCACAGCATTCTGGACTGGTTTAATTCTACTGGCTACCTCTCCTACACCAACGCGGTATGAGTGAGTTTATACATAATCCCAAACCATCTTTTGCCATTCCTCTGGGGACAAACTCTCAGTTCAAGCCCTTCTGGGGCCCCTTTGGTTGTTGTTGTTCAGTCGCACAGTCGAGTCCGACTCTTCGCGACCCCATGGACAAGATCCCGCCAGGCCCTCCTGTCTTCCGCCGTCCTCTGAAGTTGGCTCAATTTCATGTTCGTTGCATCGATGACACTGTCTAACCATCTCATCCTTTGCCGTCCCCGTCTTCTTTGACCTTCAATCTTTCCCAGCATCAGGGTCTTCTCCAGTGAATACTCCCTTCTCATTTGGTGGCCAAAGTATTTGAGCTTCAGTTTCATTATCTGGCCCTTCCAGGGAACAGTCAGGGTTGATTTTTTTTAGGATTGACTGATTTGATCTTCTTGCAGTCCAAGGGACTCTCAAGAGTCTTCTCCAGCACCATAGTTCAAAAGAATCTATTCTTCGGCACTCGGCCTTCCTTATAGTCCAACTCTTGCAGCCATACATGACTACTGGGAATACCATTGCTTTGACCATGCGGACTTTTGTTGGCAGGGTGATGTCTCTACTTTTTATCATGCTGTTTAGGTTCGCCATCGCTTTCCTCCCAAGGAGCAGGCGTCTTTTAATTTCATGGCTGCTGTCACAGTCTGCGGTGATCTGGGATCCCAGGAATGTGAAGTCTGTCACTACTTCCACGACTTCCCCTTCTATTTGCCAAGGAGTGATGGGGCCGGATGCCATGATCTTAGTTTTTTTGATGTTGAGCTTTAAGCTCACTTTTGCACTCTCCTCTTTTATCCTGAGCAAGAGGCTCTTTACGTCCTCTTCACTTTCTGCCATTAGAGTGGTATCATCTGCATATCCCCCTTTGGTAGGACAATATAACAGCCATCTTCCTCCTTAGCACATGCCACATTTTTTTCTCTTACAGCAGAATTGCCAAATAGGCATTGCATTTGCCCTTCAGAGCAGGACTGCAAACGAATTTCAAACTATGGTTCGCAATCCTGGTCTGGAAGAACGGTGCAAACCATTTAGTTTGCAGGTTCCGCTGTGATGGCAAAGGATGGCTTGCACTAAAGCAAAAGTAACTAACTGACAGCTAGTGAGGTGCGATGGTAAGAGTACCTGCTGATATATGTTTTAAGAACACTCATGTTTTTTAAAAACTAACATAAGTTTTATTCTGGTGGTCCACGACCAGTGTTCCCTCTAAGCTGAGTTAGTGTGAGCTAGCTCACAGTTTTTTAGCCTCCGGCTCACACATTTTGGTCTCCGCTCAGGAAGGAGGGCTCCAGAGCAAACTAATTTATGCAGTAGCCAAATCACTTGCTCACAACTTTAATGCCAGGAGCTCACAATGTAGAATTTTTGCTCACAGTACTCTACAGCTTAAAGGGAACATTGTCCACGACCCTAACAGATTACTGATTCAATGAATGGTAAGGGTACTTAATTATTATTGGGGGAGACCCAGGTTCAGATCCCCACTTGCCTTGAACCTCACTGGGTGACTGACCAACCACTCTCTCTACTGAGTCTACCTGGCAGGGTTACTGTAAAGATAAAACTGGGTGTGGAGGAGAGAACCCTGCTGTACGCCATCCTGAAGGACAGGATTTTAGGGTACATTTCCAGCTGCTACAGGAAGAAGGTGGGGAAATTATGTGGCGCAGGCAGAAGTCCTCATGCCCAAGGAAACATTTGTCTGGATCTAATCCATATATTCTGCTATTTCAGACAAAAGCTGACAAAGGGATATAGGATTTCACTTTCTGAGAAGCTCAGCTCACTTTTCTAAAAAGTGTCTTGTTCTCACAGCTCAGAAGGCAGGCCTCACAGGCCGTTTTGGTAAAACTGCAGAAGGCGGGCTGAGTAAACTTTCCAGCTGCTAGGATGGATATCCACTACACCTTGCACAGAAACCTGTTCTGCTCCATAGCTAGAAGCAGCAAAATAAATTATGCAAACAGTACAAGGATATACAAATCTAACACATTAACACTACAGAGACAGTCTAGCCCCAGAGGCAATAATCAAAAATAAGTACACAGGAAAAAGATAGTACTGGCAGGAGGTTCACTTAGTATCACCAATGCCTAGTTAACAGCATTACATCACTTACTTAGTGGGATGTTTTCACTTACCTTTTTTAATTTAAAGGTAACCTGTTTGCTTCCTACAATGGTATCATGTACACTCAGTGCACCGACCTTCTCTTCAAGCTGCAAGCGATCACCAAGAGTTTTTCTGCAGAGGATATGACAGGGGGAAAGTCAACTTATTAATTTTTTCCCGATCCGCATTATCACAGGTTCCTGCCCAAAAAATTACAATGAACTATCTGCTGCCATTCCAAATATAGTGAGGGGCCGATGTGGTATAGGGTTAAAGTGCTAGACTAGGATCTGGGAGACCCAGGCTCAGTCCCCCAGTCTGCCATGGTTGCTTGCTGGGTGAGTGTGAGCCAGCCACGTACCTACCTTATGTCAGGACCCACAGCAAAACAATGAAGTATACATGCTTCCAGGAAGGTTTTACTTTTATTGAAAAGCCATAGATGCAATAACACGAACACTGTTAGGAATGGCGGGCTACCTGTGTGCATAATAGGATATAGGGCATTTGTATGTGCCCCCCCAGCAATACCCAATTAGGTGGACTCCCACGCGCGGGAGATTGCAAGACCCTCTAACGGTTGCGAAGCTGGGAACGAAGAAGCTCCCACGGAAGGTAGACACCACAATCTCCTCCAGTAACACTTTACAGGTAAGCGTTGCAGCTTTGAAGCAATTAAGCGCATGGGAAGGAATGCAAAGCAATTAGAAAGCCTCTCCACACTCATGGCAGCTTAGCTGACACCTTACAGGGTTGCTGTGAAGAGAAAATGGAGGGGAGGAGAACAGTGTAAGCTGCTTTGGGTCCCCACTGGGGAGAAACCCAGAGTACAAATGAAGTAAATAAAAACAAAGTTTGAGTCCAGTGAAGCCTTTAAGACCAACAAAGTTTCACTCAAGGTGTAAGCGTTTGTGTGTACACAACACTCCCTCAGATACATTGAAACGGAAGGTAGCAGTTCATTGATATATATAGGGGGTGAACAGCATAAATAAAATAAATAAAAATAGTGGCATTTATCCGTCCATCTATGCATGGAAGATACATGGACTTTTCCTCTCCATTTCTGCTGGTCCTTCTAACCTTCTAAAAGATCATTCCGGGGTGGGGGTGGGGGGTGTCATATGATCCATAGGGTGAAACGGCTGTTCATGTTGGAGAAGAGGGACAAGAGGATGAAGCTGACTCCTTCCCTCAGCAGAACTGTGCTTGCAGAAGAGAAGGCAGTGTGATTTCACCCCTTTGCCCCTCCCACCCATGCAGCTACTCCTCCATGTGACACCTCAGGGTGTCAACAGGGACAGAGATGAATGCAGGAAAAGTGTGCATGGCATGAACCAGAATGGTAGGATCCACTCTACTTTTTAAACAAACAAGCTTTCTGGAAAGCGTAGCCTAAACTTTTAACTTCCTCAGGTTTGTGACCCCCCCCCCACACACACACAGTACAGGTTCAAATAGATATAGGTAGATGCTCTACTAACAAAATTCAGATCAGGCTGAAAAAAAAACACATTCTAATACAGATCTATGTAATAAAGTTTGCATTTCTGACCTCTTACTGGGGTGCAAAATAAGCAAGACAACATTTGACCTTTGGGGGAAACCGAAAGCTAATTTTTAGTGGCAATAAAATTTAAAAAGTGAAGCAGCTTAAAGCTTAGCTCACAATATTGGCAACAATTTAGGTATCCGCACCGCAGGGTGGCCAGGCTGCAGCCAGGAACCTCTAGGAACAATCTTGGGGGGGGGGAGGC